TTTCCCAGGGGACATGTGGCACATGCATCTTGACATGCTCACCTGTGCTGTTCCTTGAATGCTTTCATCGACAGACATCATCAAAACGCCACAGCATGACTCCGACCCCATCCTCAAGTCCTCAGGGCACTGTGACTGATCCGCCCATCACCCCACAGATCCCCACTCTGCTGCTGCGTGGATTTGCTAGAGAATAATGTAGCAGCCTATGAACGAGTGACGCGTGGAAGCTGGGCTCGCTCATCTGACAGCTTCCTGTACTGCACCCATTAAGTGTCATGTGTTGCAAAAGGGACACAATATGTGTGGCCTGAAAACCCCCAGCTCCTAAGAAGGAATGCTGGCAGGCAGAGAAACCACCAAAGAAAATGGGACATTTTAATAACAGCCTCTTGTGTAGGATTCCCGGCCACTTGTTTCCCAGGAAGTTAATGTTGCACTCACAATTGAATTTCCAGAGAGATTATCACCCTATGAAAGGTCCTATTCCCTGTGCCTCAGGTTTCTAAGACAACATAAGGAGTCACCCTTGAGCAATTGGTGACCCAGTGTCAGAACAGACCCACAATTCCCAGGCCACAGTCTCTTTTCAGATGTCTAGAGATGTAGGTATTTAGAAGAGGGGCAGGGAATGTTGAGACAGGCAACAAATCATGCTCCCAGTTAAGATCAGGGAAGTGTCTAGAGACAGAGGGAGGGGGGGAGGGGGGGGGGGGGGGAGGGAAGGTGGGAGATACTGAGAATACTGGCTCAAGAAAACCTTTGTAAAGGAGGAGAAACAGGCTTAGAAGAAAAATATTCCCCATTCCCATACTTTATTTGGCAGAAGGAAAACCTGCCAAGGAACCATTTCCATATCCCCAACATGCTATTTTTTTCAAGCTTTCTTTTTTAAGCTTGGCATTAACATAGTATTCTGGTTTTAGTGCTACCCATAATATTCCAGACTTCACTAGTCTGAATCAAAGAAAAAGACCATGTTTACTTTTCCATTACTGTCCAATAAGTTTCAAAGAACAAGTTCCATCTTGACGTTTTCTTACTTGCATGTAACAACACACCTTAGCCATATGTCCCCTCTAGTGGGCTCTCTGACCTTCCCACTCCTCCCCCTTCACCCCCTGAACAGCCCTAAGAGCCCCCCTTTAGTGTTCTGTGTTCTTCTTCTCTGCTTTCCACACAGGAGCGGACAAGTCCCGTCTTTACCTTTCTCAGCCTGGCTTATCTCATTTGCATTACCATCTCTCTTTCCATTTTCTTGATCCTGACATCTGTTCTTTATGTGTTTGCACACATGAACCAACCACATCTTCTCTGTACATCCGTCTCTCCACGGACATCTGGACTGGTTCTCTCTCCTGGAGGTCATGAACAGTAGTACAGCCATAAGCTTGGCTGTGCCCACATTGCCATGGCACAGTGACCAAACTTATTCAGGTGTTACCCGGGAGTAGAATAGCTTTTGAGTTGTGTAAGAAACTTTGTACCAATTTCCACAGTGGCTTTACCAGCTAAAGCCCCACAGCAGTAGGGAAGGGCTTCTCTCTGCCCACATCCTGGCTGTCGTTTGTCATTTTTCTTCATGAGATGGAATCTCCTGGTGGCCTGTGGACATTGTTTCAGGCATGTCTTGGCCTTCAGTAGTTCTTTGTAAAATTCATTTGCCTGATTATTGATTGGATTACTTCTTCTTTGGGTTTATTTTTCTTTACAGAGTCTAGATATTAATCTCCTGTCAGGTAACTCCTTGTCAAGGTCTTCTGTTAGGCTATCTCTTTGCTCAGTTGTTTCTTTTGCTGTAAAGATTTTTAGTTTAATATAATCCCATTAGCCAGTCCTTGCTATTATTTCCTGAGATGCTGGAGACCATTGTCTTATTTATATGCTAAGGTGTTTTTGCCTCTTCTAGTAATTTCCGAGTATTACAAGTGAGTCAGTGACTCATTTTGGATTGATTTGCATACCTGGCAGAGGGAGGGATCAAATGTCATCCTTCTACGTGTGGATGCCTTTCCCAGCATCGCTTGTGACGAGACAATCTTCTGTTTCCAGTGTATTTTTAAAGACGTGTTTTAATTGTATGCTTGGGTGATGCAAATGAATGCAGGTGTCCTCAGAGGCCAGAAGAGGGCATTAGATTCTCATGAGCTGAAGTTATAGGTGGTTGTGGGCTGCCTGATAGCAGTGTTAAGAACCAAACTCTAAATTCTTTTTAATCAATGAGACATTTCTCCAGCCCTTCAATATATGGTTTTTTAAAACACAGTCAAGAATCCAGTGGTTGGAAGAGTGAGGGTTTATTTCTAAATCTTCTATTGTATTCTATTGGTCTACCTGTCTGTATTGGTCACTATGGCTCTGTGGTATAGTTGAAGTCAAGTACTGTAGTGTCCCAACATTCTCCCCACACCACGGATTGTTTTAGACTCCCAGCATATTTTCTGTTTGTGTATTTTAGGATTGTAAACATCCAATATAATTTTTAGAAATTAGTCTTTTTCCCCATGGTTGCCCCTCCTCCCAGCTGTTTGAAGGATCCTGAGGAGGCTATCTCAGTATACTCAGGAACAGACTCTTGATTTCCTGCCTCTGCTTCTGCAAACTCATGAAATGCCAATCCTCAGGACAGAGCTCTGCCTGGTGGCCACTGGTACCTGCCCCATCCAGTTGGGAAACACTGTTCTCATCTCTGTCTTTTTACTAAACCATGGGTTACTTCTTTCTTTCTCATCAAATAACCAAATAACACAGTTGAAATTTTGCCTTTTGGGATGCTAAAATATTGGAGGTTGTAGAATTACAGCACAAAGAATGGCTTCCACCTACCACAAGGGCCTGCATCTGTCCTAGGCATGGTGACCAGGCCCACTGCAGCCTGGCTTTCCTCTACATGGCTCAAGTGAGACTCCTCTCCTCCAGAGATCACTGGCAGGGGTGATATCTGTTTCTCCCCCAACCACTTCACAAGACTTTGTTGGATGCCTGTTATGTTCCAGTCACAAGACCTACAAGACATAGCAGGGACCCAAACAGGCCTGGACCAGGAAAATGTCAGGCTATAAGGGTTGCTGATGCAGACGGTCTGTCAAAGTCAGGAGCCCAAGAAGACCAGTGAAACTGAGGCAGGGGCAGTGGAGGCAGGCAGGTGAAAGGTGAGGTTGGACAAGAAGGCAGCAGCCACACCTGTACATATCGAAAAGCCACTGGGTGATGAGGTACCTCAGGTTATGGGAATGTCTTGAGCAGAGGCAAGAATGGTGTGTCTTGATCTTCATTTTAAGACTATGGCAGCCTCGTGCAGAGTGAATGGGAGTGGAGGCAGGGGGACAGGTGTTGTCTCGGTGACCTCTGCAAGGTCAGATGGTGGTATAGCCCTTAGTGCTGCCGGGGTAGGTGTGGATCCATTTCTAGATATTTTTGGAGGTAAACCAACACAGTTTGCTGATGAGTAGGTCGTGATTCATCTAGGCTTAGAGGTTTTGAGGCCGCTTTGGGCAGATGGGCTCTGATGAGAGCATCAGATAATAATTTCTACCTTTCCTAAAGTTTGATTGACACAATGTTAAGTAGCAACCTGAGAGCAGCAACAGCAGGCACCTGGGCCAGGCCCTGTCAGTGGGTTACCAAAATGTCCTAACAACCTGGTGATCTACCCTCCTTAGCCCCAGCTGGCCCTCCTGCCACATCAACCTTCATGCAGCATTAATGTTTTTCATTAGAATTTCTACCCAAACAATTGTCGGGATGAACAGGTGGTGTTTTATTCACTGGATCATTCACTCAAGAAAAAGCTTATCAGTGCAACTCATAGTAGGACTTGCCACTGGCTAGTTGTGAGGCCTTGGACAGGTTCCCTGGGCTTTATGTGATTCGGTGTTCTTAGTAGTGGAACCCGGCTAGAGTACTCCTGTTCTCAGCAAAACATAGCCGGTGTGTGTGTGTGTGTGTGTGTGTGTGTGTGTGTGTGTGTGTGTGTGTATCTAATCACCTTTGACTTCCAGTCTCTGAGGGCAGACTGGCCTTCTTTGAACCCAAGTTGTATCTCTTCTATACAGAAATAATAGCACCCGCGCTGAGGGCTTACTGGGAGGTGAAATCAGCACCTTTACACAGAGCTCGGTGTATTGTGTTCCCTAGGAGTAATGGAATTCTCATCTCCTCTGACTCAAAGGCTCTGTCTTCCTAGTTTAAATTGTACATTTTCACCTCTGCCATTAAACTGAGGCAGGAGGAAGGCCATCCTGACCCCTCGCACAGGCTTGTGGTTTACAAATGAGGTTAGGGCTCTCAGAAGTTCTGGCATTGTACAGTGTTGCCACAGAGGGAATGTGAATATGGGCACCTTACCCCTCAGAGACAGTTTGCAAGACTCCATGTGTCTCCGATGCCACTCCAGCCCTCTCCCATCCTCTGTGCCGCTTCCTCTTCTTGTCCCCGCCTTGACCAAACAGAGGAAGAGCACATGGGTGTCAGCCACCTGTGGCCACTCCTGTTTCTATGGGAAGTATGCATTCCATGTACTCTTCTTTACTTCTGAAGCCAACTGTGCAGTTTCCTTTGACATCGTTTGCTCAGACGCCTCCCAGCCGCATCCTAGAGTTGGCCTTTCTCTGGCTTCTCTTGGTTTCTTGGTGCTCATCACCCTCTGGTTCACGTAAGGCCTTTGTGTCTTCACCTGTGTGGCTGTGTGTCTCGTTAGGAGCAGGAACATCTTAAGGCTCACCTCCAGTGTAGGAAGAAAGCTTAGTCTGTGATGTCAAAGAGGAAAATCTTAAAAGCAAATGGGTTCCTGTGAAAGGTTCCTCACTGTTGAAATCTAACTCATCCTACTGCAGCTGTGGCTGAACCTGGTGGAAGACTTTTCCCTCTGGTGGTTCTGGGGAGCTATGGGAACAATACAGCATACTGGTGCATACATGGAAAGCAAACTGGTTCATATGGGTGTCAACAGCAAGGAGAAAATACTTCCATGAGGCTAACAAGATACTTTTGGGTTTCAGGGAACAGATCCGACAAGGCCTAGAAGAGCTCCAGAAAGTTCTGCCAGGAGGAGACACTTACATGCATGAAGGATTTGAGAGGGTAATTTCCAGACGGTTTTAAACTCTTGAGTATAAAGCATCACATTGGACTCCCCATGCAGAGACTGTCCGTGATGACACAACCTGTGTGTTAAGGGAAGAGAACACAGTGTCTCCCTTATGCTCACTGACAGCTACATTCAGAAGAATGACAGGAGTGGCTGTTTATCCTTAACTGACACTCATGAAGAGCTCACTAGCCAGTGCTAAGATGTCACTCACAAATGGTGCCACACACAACTCCCCTCAGTTCCCAACATGACTTCATGGCTGGCAGCCTCAAAGGCTGAGGTGAAATTTCAGTGCCTTTGGCTTTAAGGAAAATCTTTCCAAGACTCTGAAAAAGATCTCCACCTATGTGAGCAATTAGCTGACTTAGCTGGGAGAGTCACTTTACCTGGATATCAGTACTGGCATGTGGAGTGAGACCTGGGCAAGTCACATTAAAAATCAAGATAGCCCTGGCTGCATATGAACACCAGCTCCTCGGGCCTACATGCATGCTACTGGGCTGGCAAGCATTGTTGTGTAGCTTATGGTCTAATGGCATCTTCGTGTGTTTTTCAGGCCAGTGAGCAGATTTACTATGAAAACAGACAAGGTAAGATTGTGCCATAAATGTACATTATGAAGTGTCTCATATCATATTGTTTGCTTCTGAAAGAGAATTTGTACATTTCAAAGTACATGTGTGACATGGTCCATAAATCCTATACATTCATTTATCATGAAGAAGGCATATGAAAGAATGCCTGGAAAGATGGCTTATATCAAGTCAAATTCTACCCTGCTGTGCCAGGAAACATTATATAAAAACAATTAAGATCTCAATATGGCTGCAATCTGCAATTCCTAGGAATAGTTTTGCATGGTGAATTCATTAAGTTAATAAATACTTGGATGGGTTAGTAAGGGCTTGGACTTTTGTGTCAGATTTAATTATCTTGTGTCTCTCTGAGTTCCTGTGGTTGGGTCTAATATTTCGATCAAGTTTGGCTTAAAGTCCCCTTCACTTAAATACAAATGCATAAAGTATGCTTAATGAAGCCTTAGAAAGAGAATACAGTAGTTACCATCATTTGGGTTTTTATTAGTCCCCCTCATGGAGCGCATTCCAACACGTCACACTAGTCTCTTCAATGAGATTCCGTATAACTGTGGGGACTTTCCTCCTAAAGGCCACTTCCTGCTTGATTGTAATTAAACTGCAACAAACAGGAGAGGCCTCAAACCCTCTGAGAGAAATCAATTTTCAGGACTGTTACTGGAAGTCTAAATAATATTGGAAGCATTCCAGTAGATTTTTCCAACAGCTGTAATACTTCTGGTCAGCTTGCAAATTTGAATAAATATTATGTCTTGGCATATTGCTGTCCAAGTGTGGTATATGTGGTCAGCTATGGCATTCAAGGAGGACCGATACAGACCAAGTGTGGAATGTGTCCCGGGCCTGCTGACCACTACTGGAGGTGTTTGCAGTGACGGGCTGGTTCTGCAGCCGTCTCATCAGGACAGCCTACCTGTCTAGATGAGGCTGGGAAACCCAGAAGTCTGGGCTTCCTTCATGCTGGAGTTGTAAGACTGTGATTGTCACCATGTTCGCTTTCAGTGACTGGGCTCATAAAGAGATAAAATCTCGGGAGTGAGTAGGGGATTCCTGGTGGTTCAGGATGAGTGACAGGGTCTTTGGTGTTTTGATCAGGATACAGGACAGCGAGTGTCATCATCGCGCTGACGGATGGGGAGCTGCATGAGGACCTCTTCTTCTATTCAGAGAGGGAGGTGAGTAGCAGCCATTGGGTCTCAGAGAGGAAATGGGACCTAGCATGCAACTCAGCACTATCATGTGTAGTGTGTGAGAAGACCAGGACCCCGTTCTGTATTCAGGCAAAATGATAGTCGTTGTTGAAAAAAAAAAAAAACCCAAACCTGAATGAAAGTGTTTCATATGTAAAAATAATCATAATAATTCACTTTTAAAGTCAATTTTTATGTCTTACACATGGAAAACACTTTCCTCCTTTCAAAAAAATGTCTATTATGCCCTTATCGAAGGTACTATATTACTTTAGCAGGTTAAAAATGTCATGTATGCATTTTAAACAATAGATGCTGTTACCAATTTTCTTCCCTTTTTCCTCATATTTTCTACTAAGGCAATAGAGGACAGAGAGCCTTCTGCGATGCATAAGAACCAGTCTGCCAGGGTAACGTTTATATTCTTAGTCCAGGAAACCGAGCTAAGCACACACTGGGTGGAGCACTCTCTAGTCCTCTGTATTTCTCCTCCACTCTTCTTTTCTAAGGATTTTTTCCCCACTGTATTTTAAAAAGATTTTACAAAAATATTTGCTTATTTTCTGTGTCTGGGTATCTTGCCCACATATATGTATTGCACCATGGTGCCTGTAGCAGTCCAAAGAGGGTGCCAGATTCCCATGAAATAGAGTTATGGATGGTTGTGAGCCACCATGTGAGTGAGGGTGCCCTCAGAGGCCAAATGCACCTTGGAGCTGGAGTCACGGTTGTGAGTCGTCTGATGTGGATGCTGGGTATCACCCCGGTGTCCTCTGGAAGGGCACTGCACTCTCTTAACTGCCGAGCCATCTCTCTGGCTCTCTCATAGCCTTTTCTTTATGCTCTCAAACCTTACTCCCCAAGAGGAGGGCCTCCCATGGCCTCACCCCCTCGCTGAGGACCCACTGGCAGTTGATGGCTGTCTGGAGAGAGAGAGGGTCATTTTTTTTCAGAGGTGTGGTCACCAGTAAGTGACCTATATATCCCAGTGAATGAGACCACAGATATAATTGAAGTCTCATTACAGACACGGGCTCGCTGAGACCCGGGTAGAAATTCACACAGAAGGAAAAGATATGAAGTGGGGGTGGGGTGGGTACTGGAAGACATTAATGGCAGCATTACATTTCCCTGGGGCTTTTGACCACTGTTTGGTTTAAATTGAACTCTATCCACAAATGTGAAGTAGTGTGTTTGTCCATTCTGAGTGTGTACTGGCTACCCTGTAGAGACACACGAGAGAGCAAGGCAGCGTTGCTGGGCTCTACCATGAAATGCTTTCCTCTCCCATGAGCACACGCCTGGCATGGGAAACACAAACTCACATGACAGATGCCCTAAGCATCTGAGAAGGAATACGTTTCTGTACTCTAAACTTAAAACTATGCGGTGGAATGTGAAACGGCTTATTTAGGCACCAAAGGACTGTCAGATCAAGTTAAAAAGCCCTAATAAGGGAAGAACTGACATCAAACAAATGATGAGTTGGACACAGACGTTGACTGGGAGCAATTTTAGGTATATGGCACATACAGACTTGGAATGAGCTCCGTGTGCTGATGCCAGCAGAGAGAAGTTCCCAGAGAAGACAGAAAGAGCACGAACCCTCCCATTCTCTGTGACGCCCCTCCTCCCCCCAAAGCTCAGCTAGAAGAGAGGAGTCCCAGAGTTGATGTAGATTCGGTTGGCTGGACTGTGTCTCAAGACTCATTTCATGCTGAATGCAGGAGGAACTATTTCCAGCATAAAGAAGAAAAGACATATTCTGTCTCTTCTAGACATCAGTGTGAGAAACAAACGGGTTGGACTTCTCATAAAGGGAGAAATTACAATCCAAACCAAGGTGCATATATTGGGCATTGGATGCTTGTGTTCGTCACCTATTGAACACTGGCTCCGTGTCTTCCTGTGTTCTATCCTGAACACAGGAAATCTGGAAAACAAATACCAAAGCAAAGTACCTTTAATAAATCAAATATAACACTAAGCCAAAACCTGGATATTTTTTAGAATGTTGCCAAGCCAGTGATTAATGTCAAGAAGATCCTGGCTACTACTCAGACATGAACTTACCATTAAACCACTTTACTCTGTGGCTGTGAGAAAGGTCTGGTTCATCAACGGTGTTGACTATAGAAGGAAGCGTCACAGTATCAGTGAGCTCTGCCCAGATGGCCACAGTTAATTCCCCGGGCACTTAGCAGAGTGAAGCCAGCCACACAGGGATAGCTGATGCCAACAGCCACATTCATTTGTAATACTGTGTTGTCATCCTAAGCAGGAAAAAAAAAACATGTATGCCAACAAAACCTACTTCAGCCTGGACATGTGATGTGATTAATCTGCCCCAGTCACTCCCCTTCCTCCCATGTCTTCTAGAGCTGTACCTCAAGTCAGCTTTGGCAGGGACCCCCTAAAGTGACCACTGTTCTCTGGTCCACATGTTTCACATGAGCCCTTGATGGAATACTGGCTCCTTGGGATCTAGCATGCTTCTTTCCTGTGTCATCTGCCACACAGTAGGTGCTCAGGAAACACCCCATGGTGGATGGCAGTCTTAAAATCAAGAGGACAGCTGCCTCTACGGTTCCCTTTAATATATCCTTTGTCTCCTCGACACAGGCTAACAGATCCCGTGATCTTGGGGCGATCGTTTACTGTGTTGGCGTGAAGGATTTCAATGAAACGCAGGTATGAACCAGGGTCTCCCTCTGTTTGAACACGTGCTGCTAGGGAGAGATGAACACAGAGCACTCGGTGTATGGGGGCACCTGCAGAATACACAGCCTTTAAATGTTTCTCTCAGAAGCTCATCAAGGAGAAATTTCTGGCCATGTGAAGAATTCGACCTCATCTTCTGAGGTTTCTGGGATCTTAACACAGACCACCCAGAGCACACCTCACTTGTTTAACTTTCTAGGTAACATTAAGTCACCAACGTGTTAACACAGCTCTCAATCCATCGACTTAGAGCGCTCTCTAAAAACTTTAATTTGACAAGTACAACTTTCTTTTCCAAGTGACAAAGTTTCTTTGCTCATTAAAAATGTGATGCATTTTTCAATGCCAAAAATGTAAGAATATTTGGAGATGTGTGCCCAGATATAGAAAACTGCTGACATCCCGAATAAGAGCTTTTCCATGTGGCTCCTTACAGTGGTGCAGAATTCTCAGTGAGGTGTGACGTGAGTAACAGGATTGCAAAGCAGTGAGAATACTCCTGCTCACTTCTAGAAAAAACAAACATATCCATTTGCATTTAAAAAGTCTATTCCTATACAACTGTCAATAAGGATTAATTCATCAGTAGAGATCAGTCATGAATAGGCCATGTTTTTTTTTTCATTTTAACTCTTATGGTTTCCTAAATTTTCAAAGAATTAGTGTGTTACTTTTGCAATCAGTTAAAAAAAAAAGAAAAAGAAAAAAAGAAAAGAAAATGTAAAACTGGCACAGCCTCTGCAGTCCCAGAGCCATGAATGTTGGGGGCCCCTGGTCAACTGTTCCTTGTCCTCTGTCTCCTGCTTCATGAACCAGATGAAGCAATGAGCCTGCCCCCTGTGGCAGTTGGTGTGAAAGGTGGGGACCCCTTTCATCAGCCTGGTGCAACAAGGGCCTCAATTTGGTTCTGAAGTTGCTCTGAGAGGCCTGGAGTCTGTTTGATTTGGATAAATTTACAGGCAGATATCTGGGTGAGAAGTCAGAGGTCCCCAAATCTACAAATATATCACCCCCAAGTTGTGTGTTCATCCAGCTAGGCAGTCTTACCTCTGCTCCTAAGAAAGAAAAGATTCAAACAAAATGCAGGAGCCGGCACCTCCGTCAGCCTGCTCCAGGGGTTCCTGGTCAGCTTCCTACAGCTGAGGGTGAGTGAACCTACTGAAGGCTGCAGGTTCCTCTAGGTTGAGAACATGGGTGCCCCGCCCTGTGCAGTACATAGTAACTTCTCTGAGTCTTCCAACTCCATGCCTGACACGTCTCTGCATGTGTTTGTGTGTCCGTCCTCAGTTGGCTCGGATTGCAGACAGCAAGGACCACGTGTTTCCTGTGAATGACGGCTTCCAGGCCCTTCAAGGAATTATCCACTCAGTGAGTACAGGCTTCTTCTGAAAGGCTGATCTCCAACCCCCCCCCAACTCTGCTGGTTTTCTGCTTGAGAGAACATTCCTTCACATATCTTTGTGTCTACTATGTCCTAAGTCTTCCTTCAACCTTTCAATCACGGTTCTTTTCTCTCTCCTGTGCCAACTCTATCCTACAAGTTGAAGGACCCTTACCTGGCAGCAAGCCAAACGCCAGACAGCCTTTGTTCTCAGAGTCTGCGCTCGACTGACTCCCAGCATACCCGTGACTAAACATAGCTATGCATAAGCCCAGACAACACCTTTTTTGTAAAAAGCACACAACTAATAAATCACAAGTTAAATAATTACAAAGTAAACATCATGCAAGAGCCCTGAGATCATTTCTAAGACACTCCACTGTGTCAGCCAAGGTGGACCCCGAAGCCCGAGCACCTGGAATGCCTTAGAACACTGATGTCTGTAGGCAGAAGTTTTCAGAATTTTGAAAAACAGGCTTACTTCATACTGGGACTGACTGTCTTAAATATGTTCATACTTTGCTTCACTGAAAAGTGGAAAGAACTGGGAAAAGAGAGGAGTAGGAGCTCCAGTTATTAGTCCATGAGGGGGAACTTCCTACATTAAAGAATGTTTGGATGGGCCAACAGTATGGCTCAGTAGGTGAAGGTGGTTGCTGCCAAACATGACTACCTGAGTTCAGTCCCCAGAGAGCCCATGTGGTGGAAGCACGTGTGTGTGTATAAAACTTCCTGGGGCTAATGTGGCAATCTTGGTAATGTAAGAACCAGAACTCAAGCACTGTGTGAAACAGCTGCCTCCTACTGCAAAATATTACCAGCAGGATTCAGAACCACTCTTAGATCCTGTGAAAGCTATGTAGGGACAGAGTGTTTCATGAGAAGCTGGGCTGACCAGATTGTTGGAAGACCCTGAAGGAGGTGGGTGGCACAGGGGAGAGGGAGCCTAATTTCAACCTCCTTCCCAAAGGCAGGAGAACAGCAAAGTTTATCCAGGGGTGGTGATGGCAGCCCTGACTGTGGGTGGCTTTGGAGGTAGTGGAGGATAAGCCAGCACATGGGCCTGGAACAAATTGGCAAAGGCATCCAAGGGCTTTAACTGTACCTGCAGGCAGTGGGTGGTACACTGAAGCACTTGTTTTAATCTTACTTTCAATTAACATGCAATAATTGTACATTTCTGGGGTCTAATGTAATATGACCAGTTCTATTTTCTGACTTCTAACCAAGCCCAACCATGCTTAGCTTCTGAGATCACAAGAGATCAGGCAAACTCAATGTGAAATAGCTTCGTGGAATAGACGTGTGATATCTCAGTGCATACATACAGCTGTGGACATGGACATGTGATGTCTCAGTGCATACACACAGCTGTGGACATCTGATGTCTCAGTATAAACACACAGCTGTAGACATGTGATGTCTCACTATAAACACACAGCTGTAGACAGTGGGATGTCTCAGTACATGCACACAGCTGTGGACATGTGATGTCTCAGTACATACACAGCTTAGACAGTGTGATGTCTCAGTACATACACAGCTGTAGACATGTGATGTCTCAGTACATACACAGCTTAGACAGTGTGATGTCTCAGTACATACACAGCTGTAGACAGTGTGATGTCACAGTACATACACAGCTGTAGACAGTGTGATATCTCAGTACATACACAGCTGTAGACAGTGTGATGTCTCAGTACATACACAGCTTAGACAGTGTGATGTCTCAGTACATATACAGCTTAGACAGTGTGATGTCACAGTACATACACAGCTTAGACAGTGTGATGTCTCAGTACATATACAGCTGTAGACAGTGTGATGTCTGAGTACATACACAGCTTAGACAGTGTGATGTCTCAGTACATACACAGCTTAGACAGTGTGATGTCACAGTACATACACAGCTGTAGACATGTGATGTCACAGTACATACACAGCTGTAGACATGTGATGTCACAATACATTTACACAATGTACACTGATCAAACCAGGGTAACTAGCATCCCAATTGCCATGTCTGTTTTTTGTGTTTAGAATCTTTGAGTTCTTCTAAGCCATGTACATAGGAGTATAGAGACACCAGAGATGCTGACCCAGTCATAGACCCACACCAGGACAGCTTCTGAACAGGGCCAGATTCTTTTCTCTGTTGAAGCCCTCATGAGCCGTGTGCCCAGGAACCTTCGCACAAACAGTCAGCATTTCTATCTGTATGAATCTGTCCTGGGATATTTCAGCATTAATGACTTCCCCATTCTCACTGTGAGCCAAAATGTTTGCAAAACTACCCCCACCCCCAAACTGAAATAATTCCAAGGATGTGTTATATGTTCTAGCAGGACAGCGTCCCCCAAAAGGAAGAAAAATCATTGCAGACTTCAGTCTCCAAACTTTAACTGAATGGTGCCATTCCTACAGCTTTTATCTGGGAATCGCGTCTGTTTTGATCCTCCCAGGACTGGAACCCGTGTTTATGGGGGTTGTTAACTGGTTTGCTCGGACAAAGAGACAAGTGTGGTAGGGCTCATCCTTCTTAAGGCAGACAGAGATAATTATGGCCTAAGAGCTGGCTGGCTGCTTTTAAGAGGTGGGTTCTGTTTTCTCTCCAATATCAGAAACAAAAGCCATCATTCCCCAACCCGAGGCACCCACTGGAGGCACCCACTCCTGCCTATTCCCATCCCCATCTTGTGACTGGTTATCTTCTAATAAAGTAGGGCTGGACTTAATTATCTAAACTAAGATTACCAAGCAGATTCTGATGACTCAAACAGGTCACAGAAGTTTCTGCATTTTTGAGCTTCAAATAAAAGAGCAAGGGTTAATACTGATTCACTGATCAAACGGTCACTGAAAGGCTGGAGAAGTGGCTCACGATTACTTGTTCTGCATTTGTGAGCCCCTGGGTTATGTCTCCAGCATTAACCACCACAAAAAAAAAAAAGAAAAGAAAAAGAAAAAAAGAAAGAAAATAATGATTGGAAGCCTCTTGTAGACACGGAACATTCAGTTGTGAGTGAAGCAGGACATGACCCTGTCCCAATAAAACAGAAAATCTATGGGAGAGACCCATAAAAAGCAAATGATATATGAAGTTAAGTTGTACAAATGGGGGTTTGGGGTTTAGCTCAGTGGTAGAGCAATTGTCTAGCAAGCACAAGGCCCTGGGTTCGGTCCTTAGCTCTGGGGGAAAAAAAAAAGTTGTACAAATGGTATAAAGGAATAGTATATGCCTTCGGTGAATACTGAAGGGGAAGGCAGCGACCCAGGCTCCTTGTAGAAGGTAACCTGGAAGATGAAATGCAGCTGTCCTTGAAGTACAAGCTTGGCACTGCAGAGCGCGTGGTTCTGAGAGAGTGCCTGGTAAAATGAACAGGCATGTAAGGCAGAGCTTAGCAGATGAGAAGGAGAAGCAGGCTGCACTGAAAGCCTTGATGTTTGCTCTAAGACAGCCATGTGCGTAGTCTGGGAATAAAGCAGCCATCCCCAAGGCTTAGGGAAGAAAGCCATGGTGGTTAGCATCTTACCCACAAGCCCCTGGAAGGTGAGTAACTACTCAGAGCCAGTAGTGACAAGGTCTGTGACCGTATGAGGAAGACAAGGCATTGGCTTTGAGCTTCCTGGGCGAGGGAAAGGCTTTACAGCTGCTCTCTGAGGAAACATCTATTATTCTAGGTTTCAGGTCAGATAAGGGTCTGCAGGCAGGTTGGATAAACTGCCATACCTGATGCTCATTATGGTGGGCATGGGAACTAGAGATCAGCAGTGTCAGTAGAAGCCCACCTTTTCCATCTGGGGAAGTAGAAGGAGAGAGTGGACACTGTATGCTAAGGGGACAGTCTTCCTGGGTCCTCTGCTGCACCCCCCCCCCATGCTTAATTTGACTATTTCAACATCTCTCAAGCTTCCCAATGCTTACCTGCCAGAGTTACAGAAACTGTTCATCTGTGGGACAAAGAGGTCAGAAAGAAGCCAGCAGTTGGGGTAAACTTTCTTTAACAAATGTCCCTTTACCCTGTTTAATATTACTCCATTTAAAAAAAAACCCATCACTGCCACACAGTACATATTTTGTTGCCATTTGCTGATGAGCAAGCTGATGCTGAGGTAATATTTCCATTGGTACAGAACTGTAGGAGAGGGGGAGCCCACCATTCTTCCTCTCTGTGTGTCTTTGAGGAAATAAAAATAAAAAATAAAAGCCACTCTGTGAAGTCACTGGGCTGATCATGCCATCAAACCCTCACCAGAACTATTCAACAAATTGGACACTGTGTGGTTGGAAAGGTTTGGTAAATTGACCAGGACCATACATGGCAGCCAGTGAGATTCAGGAGATGATGCTGTGTCTACTCAGGAGAATGATTCCTGAGCTCTGCTGAGTAGTGTAAGCCAGAAACAGCTCCGTTTCAGAGAGGGAGACTCTGAGGACCAAATGCAGGAGATGGCTTTTCACAGTTCACATGGTTACAACAAAGGCAACAGAATCCAGTGCCCCAGTCTTGGAGCACCCTGGCTGGGCGGGGAATTCTTTGCCTTTTACTTGGTCAGAAGTGCTTCACTTCCACAGTTCAGCTGGTGCTCAGTGGCTCACGAGAAGGGGACAATTTGTCAATTAGACTCAGAGTTCATGGTCCTTTGGGCAGACATTCCTCCTAAGCTGTTATTTCTTCCATCTGAGTTTTAGCTTCTGTGGTCAGGCATCGTTGGATACTATGGCTGAAGATGTAAATAAGTTATTACTTCTTTTCCATGTGTTTACAAGTCTCAAAGTAATAAGACCCTCACACCCTGATCATGGCAGAGGGGGTCATTCAGGTAGAAAGGAAAGCCTCACTCACACCTAGGCAGGGCTCACCAACCCTCTGAGGACCCTTGCAGTATTCCCACTTGCTACTTCAGAATGTGGGAATAAATTTTAAAGAAAATGGCCACTCTTTTGTCTTCTCTCATTGTGGTTCATTGGGAATTTCCTTTGACC